ATGAGTTTACGAGTCTTGCCAAAGTACAACCTACCAGTTAAGATAAACTAACAAAAGGAAATCGCGGAATTGCAAACGGCCCCTTCCAAGCCAAAGGAGCCCAGATTTTCTATTTTAAAATCTTCCAATGCTTTATTTAGTGGTTCGAAAATTCATTATGTTATCGATTTAGTTGTATCCCCTGGTAGCCATGGCTGTACTAACGGAATGTGGATGGTTACTGCCCATGTCGACTATAATAGCTCCTCTGATTATTCTACGATTTCTGCGTGGCGGATTCTCGCATCCACAGCTGATTTATGTACCATTAGCCTTGGCATTTACTGTAACTCGATTCGACTGGAAAACTGGTTCACCATTTGGGCTACCTGATCAGGTGAGTTTTCAGAACGGTGTAATACCAGGTAACTTGGGAGATTAGAAGTTGTCATACACTTACAGTAACAATTTCAGATGTCCCCAGCAACATTGTTTCCTCTGATTCTTTATATTCTCATGGTTTTCTATCCAAAGTGGCTTGAACTGTATCTTAAAATGAGTTTTGTGATGGCATATGTTGCTCCATGGCAGATAAGTTGGGGATCAGCATTCCATGCTTTTGCTCAGGTATGTGCATAAACTAAAGGCATGAAGGTGCATTCCGCGATAATCGGGTGGTGGGAAAATGGGCGGAGACCATGAACCGTTGTGCCATCTTCAATGATGCACCCTCATTCGAGTCCAGCAGCAAAATGACGTCTACTAATGGAGAAAGCTCAATATGTATATGTTCCCGCCCATTTCCTCACTTACCCCATTATCGTGGACTAAGCAGTTGAGTCTGTATTATACTGCCCATTTCAGCCGTTTTCTATACCCCATTCTGCGTTGATATGGACCCAGACCGTAATATCGAGCCTTATAAGTGCCCCGCTCAATCCTTTCTTAGGTAAGTCAGCATTATTTGATCCTGACTTACTTCAGTAGAAATAGAATTGGTATTTTGAGGTTCCTCCTTCTTTACGACCTCGTATGTTCGACCTGTGAAATTCTGGGAGCGAGATTACAATACGAAGCGAAGTGACGCATCTAATACCACTCTTGGTATGGTTTTGTTGTCCTAGCTGAAGTGCAGTCAGAAATCCTTTTTGTCTTGTTTTTTTTTGCCGTCAGTTTTACTTGCATGA